GGCCCCGCCGCTGCCAGCCAGATCTACGCCAGCGCCACCCTCGTACAGACCACGGGCGAGATCCCCCCGCCACGCGTTGGCCATGCTACCGTGCTCGTCTCCAACGTGCTCATCCTCTGGGGCGGTGACACCAAGGTCCGCGCCGACGACAAGCAGGACGAAGGCCTCTATCTGCTCAACCTCAGCACGCGCGAGTGGACTCGCGTCAAGGCCGGCGACGGCCCGGACACCTGCCCCGTCGGCCGATACGGCCACAGCGTCGCCATCGTCGGCTCGCGCTTCTTCGTCTTTGGCGGTCAGGTCGACGGCTCGTTCATGAACGACCTCTGGTGCTTCGACCTCAACAGCCTCAAGGGCACCCCCGTCTGGGAGTGCCTCAAGCCCAACGGCGACGTGCCTCCCAGGCGCACCGGTCACGCCAGCGTCACCTACAAGGACAAGATCTATGTCTTTGGCGGCACCGACGGCCAGTACCACTACAACGACACCTGGTGCTATGACATTGCCACCAACACCTGGAAGGAGCTCTCCTGCATCGGCTACATCCCCGTCCCGCGCGAGGGTCACGCCGCCTGTCTCGTCGACGATGTCATGTACATCTTTGGCGGTCGTGGCGTTGATGGCAAGGATCTCGGCGATCTGGCCAGCTTCAAGATCACCAACCAGCGATGGTACATGTTTGCCAACATGGGGCCCTCGCCCAGCGGTCGCTCGGGACACGCCATGTCGACGTTCCAGAACAAGGTGGTCGTGCTCGGCGGCGAGAGCTTCACGGGCGCCAAGCCGGACGATCCGGCCACTCTGCACGTGCTCGACACGGCCAAGATCAAGTACCCTACCGACAACGCCTCGCAGATCAAGAACCCCGCCACCTCCCAGGCTCAGAAGCCCGGCGCTCCCGCCGGTCCGGGCGCAGCTCCTGGCTCCCACATCCCCGGCGCCAACAACGCTTCCGTTCGCAGCGCCATGTCGCCTGTCGCCGAGTCGGATGAGCGCCAGAGGGCCATCTCGCCTACCGCCCGAACGGCGCCCAGACCGATGCAGGGCAGCGAGCCCACCTCGCCGAATCGTGGCCTGGAGCAAAATTCTGTCCAGCAGCAGCAGCAGCCGCAGCCCATGCCTGGCTCGGGCGCCGCTCCTATGCAGGCACAGCAGCAGGTGCCGCCTCAGCTTCAACAGCAGTATGCGAACCAGCCGCCGACACAAGCGCCCCAGCAGCCATCCCAGCAGTCGCCCTACCAGCAACAGCTTATGGCTGGCCTTCCCAACGGCGATCCGGCGTACGGCGCCACCAGCCCGCCTTCCAGCATCCAGCAGCACCAGACCCAGCCCATCCAGCAGACTGTCCAGCAGCCTGTCCAGCCTTCCGTTCAGCAGCTGCCCAACATGCAGATGCAGGCCTATCCTTACGCGCAGAACGTGCCCGGCGTTGGGCCGTCGAGCGCAGCGTCCTCCAACGGACCTGCGCCGTACGGCGGCCCGCGCAGCCAGCGCTCGATCGAAAACATGCGCGCGGGCGGGGCGCTTTCGCCCACCAACATCAACTCGATGCGCAGCATCAACGGCGTGGTGAGCAAGATGGACTCGCCCGCAAATGCACCCCAGGACGGCTTCCACTATGGGCGCACCACCAGCCCGCCGGGCGCCAACGGCTACATGTCGCCGCAGCACGTGCCCGCCGAGCTGGATGCGATGCGCAAGCGCGAGGCGTGGTACAAGGCGGCGCTGGCGCTCGCCGTCAAGAAGGGCTTTGTGGAGCCGGACCAGCTCAACGCCGGCGACATCAGCATGGATGCGCAGAGCGTCACGTCGGAGCGCGTCAGCCTCGACGGCATCGACACGGGCGCCGAAGGTAGCGACAAGGACCGCGTGCTCAAGACGCTCATCTCGCTCAAGGCGCAGCTGGCGAGTGCCAAGGCGACGATCGCGCAGCAGGCGCAGGGCGAGGCGGACCGCCACGCCGAGTCGGACCGTGCACGATCGGCGGCGCTGCAGGAGGCTGCCTACTACCGCGCCAAGCTCTCGGCGATCGAGTCGGGCAACGGCGACGAGGTGACGCGGCTGGAGCGCGAGCGTGCCATCAAGCTCGAAAGTGCGCTGTCGGATGCGTTGCGCGAGGGTGCGCAGCTGGAGCGCCAGGTGGCGTCGCTGCGCGAGCAGACCAAGCTGGAGCAGCAGCTGCGCAACTCGGCCGAGGAGCGGCTCTCGGAGACGGCCAAGCGCGCCATGGCGGCCGAGGCGGCGCAGATGAAGGCGTACGACGAGCTTTCGGCGCTGCAGAAGCGCAGCTACTCGACCGAGAGTGCGCTGCGCGAACACACGGAGCAGGTCACGACACTGTCGTCGCTCGTGGCGCGCCACAAGGCGGACCACGAGCATGCGCGTGGTCAGCTGGACGATGCGCACTCGAACGTCGCCGCGCACCTGGCGGCGCTGACGCAGCTGCAGGCGGCGCACTCGGCCGTGACGAAGCGCGCGGGCGAGTACGAGCGACTGCACCAGGAGCAGCGCAGCATGCTGCAGCAGCAGCAGGCAAGCATCGCCGAGTTGCGCGCGCAGCTCGAGGCCAAGACGAGCGAGGCGTCGCTGCATGCTTCGCGCGCCGTCGAGCTCGAGACGCTGGCGGAGCAGCACCGACAGGAGGCCGAGGCGCACCGCACGGCGGCGACGAGCGGACTGGCTGCGCTGCTGGCGCAGAGGGAGCAGACGTCGACGCGCGATCTGGGCGGCTCGTCGAGCAGCGTGCCGGCGCATGTCGAGGAGAAGATGCGTGCGCTCGAGGACGAGGCGGAGGCGCTGCGACAGCTGCACGGCGAGGCGCGGCAGATGGCGGACGAGCACGCGGG